TGGGGGGGGGGGTAGGTTTTATTGTTTTTTCCATTTGACAGCAGAAGAGACTGAGCCTCAGAGAAGTGAAACGGCTGATCCAAGCTCACACGATTAGGAGTAATAGCTCACTTTTATTGAGAGATTAGCAGATGCTTGGCACTGTTCTGAATACCTCACACAAATGATTAACACATTTAATTCTCAAAACAACCAAATGAAATGGGTACTTTCATTCTAATTTTATGGATGAAGCTTGGGGGTGCAGGACAGTAGCCCTGAGATCTGGTCACGAAGGGGTTAAGCGTGGAGCCTGGGCAGGGCCCAGCTGGGATGCTGTCAATGGCAGGAAACCTGGCCTGTGAAGGAGGGGGGAGGGAGCTGTTGTGTCTGACTCCTGATACAACCCCCATCCCTTTGGTCTTAAAGGAGCATCCGGGTTGGGTGGAAGGGCAGGAGGGCCCCTTTCTCTTCTCTTTTCTAGGGACCCAAGACAGATGCTGGTCTACAGCAAGGGGAACACAGGTGCCACCCTGGGGCAGCCCAGGTCTGACGAGGTGACTAGAAGTAGCCCCGCCTCTCTGCCTCTCAGCCCGAGTACTCTTTCAGGGGGGTCTGGGAGACCCTGACTCAACCCTCAGAGCCTCCAATCAGAGGCAGAGACCCAGCTCTGCCCTCAGGAGCCTGAGTGGGAGGGTGGTCCAGGAGCCTTGCTCTCTGAGGGGTGACAGTACCCTGTCTGGGATGGCAGTGGGCACAGACCCTCTACCACACTGGTAGAGCGGGGTCCGGAGGGTTGGCTCCCTGGTGAGAGAGCCCTGAGAGGGTCAGCGGGAGATGGGGGCATAGTGAGTGGAGCTGAGCTGCCGGCCCTGCCTGTCTCTTGGCCATACTCGCTGTGAACCGGCTCATCTGTGTTTCTGGTCATGGGTCCCCAGGGAGATTCTTAAAGTGGCTCCTTCCGGCCCTAGAGCCAGGACCTTGGGGGGAGGCCAAATCTGAGAGATGTTTCCTTCCTATTTCCAAGCTCATTCCCGAATCACCCTAAGGATCCCTGAGGCTCGATGGGAATGGGCCTGAGTCAGAGCTGGCTCCTTCTAGGAGAGGGTGGTGGGAAATGGAGAAGCAGCTCCGGTCAGTGTCGGGAATGAGACGGGCCAGGGAGGCCCTTCAGGTCCAGCCTCAGAGGCCAGACCCACATTGTCACAGAGGAGAAACTGTCGACTCTCTCTCCAGCCAGCTGCCCTTGCCATAGCCATCCACACCTCTGCCTGCCTTTGAGCCTAATCGTGGCCTAGCACTCACTGGCTGTGTGGCCTTGAGCAAGAACTTAACATCTCTGAATTTCCTTTTGTGTAACATGGAAATGATATGACAGAGTTCTTGTGTGGCCCAAAGAAGTGGTGGCGGAAAAGAGAAAGCACCTGGTGCCTCAAGGTGCTCAAAATGTTACATGAATCTGCCTCTTTGCTCTTGCCCTCCAACACCTTCCTGGCAACTCTGGCCTAAATCTTAAAATTTTTTTTTTTCCTATTCCCACAGTCTCAATCTCAGCTGCTGTCAAGAAATCATTTTGAACACTGCTCTGTGCCGTGGGGTC